ATACATAAAATCCCTTCAAACAGCAATATGAAGAACAGTCCTGATTTTAAAACCAAATAATTCATTTCTAATTGAAAAAAAAAATTAGAAATGGAATACAAATGTATTTATACCATGGGAGAAAGAGGGAGAGTAGCTGAAAAACAGTTTCACCAGATAATCTTGCTTTAGATAATATCTGGACGAAGTCAAAATTTTTCTAAATATGATTGCAACTCCCTATTGAAAAGGATTTATATTAGTCATAAATCTTTAAAACAATGAGGAAAATTCATGAGGAATTTTGTCTCCAGCTCTATAGAAATAATAATAAAGGGTAAAACAAATTGAAATTGGGAACTCTTATTTAATTCAGACTCTTGACAAACATTCAGGGTTACTCTTTCTTCACAAAAGAATCATTCATGTCTCCTTCTCTATTCAGGTGTAGGGCTCCTATAGTACACTAAATATATTTTAATACTATTTTGATGGTTACAGATAAGAAGAAACAGATTCTTACTTTAAAATCTGGTTTTATAATTGTTGACAGGGTACACATACAAACTTTTTTTTCATATATTGGTCATCTTTAACAGAAATACAAAAAGATCTGAGGAATGTCTCAGTACAAATTGGAATTTATTCCAGAAGCATTTGTCAGAAGATATAATGGCAGGGATTATAAAGGAGAAGAATACACTGAAAACACAGAATGCCAAAAATCACCATCTGCTGAGATGATGGAAGTATCATGCTCAAAGCTGTTAAGGTGCTACTAGAGCTGTTGCATGTTACAACATTAAACAGTTAATTGCAGTTCATGGGTTTTAAGTAAAAGAACTGGGGACTGCTTTTTACCATAGCAACCACAAAAAAGAAATCTCTTCCAGCATGTATGCAATGTGCACCAACAAAAAAGCAAAGAAAATAATTATATTTGGAATTTGGCTTTTAAACTATAATTATTCGGACAGATTCCTCTTTCCAAATTTACATTCAGAGCATCCTGGGGAGAATTAGATGTTCATTCCAAATTTATCAGATGTCTCCTGAGGGACAAAAAGATGTATTACATTCTGTGTCTTTTCTCACTAACAACTGTCAGGATGACTCCTGCTGCTTAGGTAAATAGAGTAGGGAAGTGAAAGAATAGAAAAGAAAGGAAAACTTCTATCATCTCACGGATGTGTGGCCACTTGTGCTGCGGGCAGGACACGGGTATAAATGCATTGGTCAAGATCACACGTGTACTATTGCTTACCTTTCACCACTCCGACCATTTCTATTGTGTGCTGGGGTCAGCCTACTTGCGCTCTTTTAGCATGAGGAAGCATGTTACGGTGACAACATTTCTGGTTGTTTAATCCCACACCAGGTCAAGTTCGAGAGAAGGACAGGAGAAAAGGAAAGCAAAATGACAGTGACATCATCATCATTCCTTAAATACTAACATGTAACATTTTGATACTAATGGAACTTCTTATCCATGTTACTTTTTGAAATAAAAAAGCCCAGCAAACTAACTGAAGCAGTCACCTAAAAGGTGAGACAGGCAGGTGAAAAGCAATGAGAAGCCAGAAAGAGGGAGGTCTTGTTGGTTGCTATCCCCAGAGGACACCCCGAGGGCAGGAGACAATAGGAAGAATTGTATTTCACTAGCCCTGAATCAACTAAAGGTTTGAATATGGAAATGTTTTTAAAACATCTATTGTAACTGCTGAAAACAATTATGTCTGTGGTATCTGCCAACTCTTGTAATTATCTGCTGTTGTTTTAAAAATGTGTATGGGAAATTTTGCAAAATCTAGGACCAATAATCTCATGGCTGACACAGCATGCTCTTAGACTCTTACACCACAAATGTAGTGTGAGAACTGAACAGAACAGTTGGCTACATTAAGATTCAGATCGACAAAGACAGACTGAGGGGGGTTTGTCAGCTGATGCAAAAATTTCCATAGGCAAAAATATTAAACCCTGAATACACGGAGGAATTCACTCACATTTGAGTGCTTTCAGGACCTAGAGATGCCCTTCAAGTTTTACCTCTACAAATACAGAAGATGCACGTTCATGGCTCTGTGCACCCACAAATTCTCCATACAAGACTATTTCTACCCCCTACAATATGGACTCCTCTCTTTATTTCAAGAAATTCAACTGTACTGCTATTAAATCTTGTGTTTATCAAGGACTTTTCACCACCATAACTCACTCTGTTTCCATACAGCCTCTAACTTTATATTTGTATTTGTTTATAACAGCACCATGTAAGTTTTGCCCCATCAGTTATGAAAATCTTTAGAAATATTTTGAAGCGCCCAACTCTACTGTGACATGAACACATAATTCAATAAAATGCCACTGCTTATGCTACTAGTAGATTTGACTGAGTCATATTAATTGTGCTAATTATGATATGTGTGAGAACACAGAAAAAAAGGGCTCCACTGCTCTTATAAATGGAAGATTAGACACCTCTTGCCATAGAGAACTGACAGTCAGTATATTCTTAGACGTATAACCTTACATGAAATTTTTCATCCTGCTCCACATAAAGCATTCTAATTTTGCTAGCTTTCCTATATCCCAGGCCACAATTGTAACAGTATTTTGAAGTCACTAGTAGCTGCAATGCCAAAACTGCTATTAGTGCAGAAGGAAAAGCAGGCATTGTATTATCGGATTTTTATAGTCTTTGAATATAAATATGAATGCAAGTAAAAATGTAAGAGCTCAGATTTCGTATTGGAATAAGACTCCAATTCCCCACAAGGAGGAAGACTTCAATTCCACACAAGAAGGAAGAGGAGTTTGGGTATAGTTAATGGTTTGAATTTGAGTATTTTCTATTCATCTATTATTATTGTTATATATTATTCAGCAGAATTAAACACAGACAGTGGGAATCCACAGATGACCACTGCCTCTTAAAGGAAAAGCACTTTTTTAATCTGTCAATTAAAAGATTTGGGAAACAACAGCCAGTTCTGGCTATAATTTTGCATCAAATGTGTATCTGAAGTTGAACTACAAGATTCTCAAATGCTAATTTTGTAATTATTTTTAGTTGTGGGGTTTTTTTCCCTAAACCACTATTGTTCACTTTTCATCAGTCTTGTAACTTTTGCATATACCAGATGTCACATGCTGAGTATCTACAAATAAGACTGGATTCAATGCTCAGAGCTGCATCACTGGATGTTATTAACCAGTTAAAATGTTTGATGGCCATAGACATACAAAGATTCTCTTAATCTGAGCCTGCAAAGTTGCAGCCTTAGCTCTGACATTTATCAAACCATAGGTTTCCAACAAATAGAGTAGCAAAGGACATTGTATTTATATCATTAAGAGGAGGATTTAATTAAAAAAATTAGATTGTGAGATCGCAACTGAGGTCCATCCACATCTGGTCTCTATAACTGTATTGCCTTTTTAAAAGGTCTGGTGAAGAGTTTGATGACAGAAGTGCAGGGTGGCCCATGAGAGGTTTATGCATGTGAGCCAATGCTTAAATATTGAACCTATTTTTTACCTCCAGTGCCTTTAGTTGTCAGGCACATCCCTCACTACACCTCAGTTCCTGCTAAGGCCTTTGAGATCCATTTGGACTGAGTACAGAATTCGCAGCGCTTATCACAAGACACCATCTTTGACTCTTCCAGGGTGCAACAGGAATCTTATTAGGACAAAGCTCCTCGCAAAGATAGCACCAGGAGTGCATGGAGCACAGAAGAATTCCCTGTACAATAGATGAGACACAATTGATTTCTGGCACTCCACTTCCAGGCTCAGCCAGAAATACAAGATGAACAGGCTTGCTTTCTTCTGCGATTTCAACATGTCTGCTTCCTGTATGAGCTGGAAATAGGACATACCATAACAATTGTCAAAACATTTCAGAAGCTCGAGCAAGGTGTGATTGGAGCCAGCTTCTGGAGTCAGTGAGGGCTTGGGGAGCCATGTGAGCAGGCTGGGCCCTTTCTGCTACCCGCTGATGCAGCGACCAAATGTGACCCCACCAAAGGCATTGCAGTTTGACTCTCATTCAAATATCTTGTCTGGATGGCCCCAAACTTTCACAGTCTGGCTGAAGGGAACCCAACTGTCTCCGAAACACCAAGGGACAGCCCACCCAGGCTGAAATCTGGGAGCTCTTGGGTGCCTACTCTCAGCTCACTCATGCATGGTGCCTGGCCCTGCCAGGGATGAGTCCCTGCTTACAGTGGGGAACAGTGAGCTCTGGGAGAGGGGGACAGTCAGAGCACCAGCACTCATGGAAAATGGTGGGGGGGAAGGCAGGCCCCTGCACTGAGGGCAAGGGGCTCCAGCCAGGGCCAGGACAAGGCTGTGAAGGACTGCTGGCTTCCCAGGGAGAGGCAGAGGAGAATTGGCTGCTGAGAAGAGGGGAGATGGAAAGGGGACTTCCCCCAAGAGGTGAGGAAGCATTTAGAGAGAAGGAGAGGGCAATTCCAAACTGCTTTATGATGGGAGACACAGCTCTCTGGTGGGACAGAGAGAGAGGACTGAGAGAGACCTGTCTTCCACTGAGGGAAACAGCAGAGAGAAGAGGAAAGGCTCCCAACTGCAAAGGAGGGAATAAAAAACAACGAAGGGCATAGTAAAAGACATGGTAGCCACTGGTGAGGCACCTGGGCCCACGTGGGACGGTGGTGAGTGTGGCCGAGAGCAAAAAACAGGACCCAAACTGGTGCTTCAGAGGAGTAACCTGGCAGGAGATGAAAATCCACCCTCCAGCACTAGGGTAAAGCAACAGAAAAGAGGGAACAAAATTCACAGAAGGGAAGCATTTGGGAGAAAGAGAGATACAAACAGGAGAAATATGGCATCTACATTGAGATGGAACTTAAGAAACTTGGTTACGATAGAGTGAGGTAGAAGAGCTGTTGTGTGCTGCCAACACACGCAAACATGGCTGGTGAATGGAAAGTTATAATATACGTTATTCATCAGGGCAAACTTAATCTTTAATGAAAGAACATTTCTACGCCTACCTCACGAAAAATGGGTGAAGATCTTTGGGGACTTTTGTGGGTTTGGTTATTCACATGGGTTTGGTTATTGTGAGAGAGCAAAGCACAGGAAAGCAGTATGATGTTTGAATGCAGACTTCATACTGAAGCGAGGTAACTTTGTCCATCCCCAAGTTGTTTCATACCTCAAAACATAAAGAAGTTTGTCACATCTTTCAAAAATGCAGGGAGCTCCTCCAAGTTTCTTTTCTGTCCCAACTGGATGGTTAAGAGCCTTCCTCTAGAATCTGGAGATGGCCTTCAAAAATATTATTGTTGCTGTAGTTTACCAAAAAAAAATGTTTCAATTAAAAAAATAAGACAGATAAGTATTCAGTAAGTAAAAGTGATCTTCTGCTAGAAACAGCTAATACTTTTAAGCAGCAGTAAGAAACACATACTGATGACTGTGTTTTAAAACAATTTCTCTGTGATCTTTCCTGAGTACCTGTTATAGAATCACAGAATCAGCTAGGTTGGAAGGGACCTCTGAGGTCATCAAATGCAACCCTTGATCCATTATCACCATGGTTACTAGACCATGGCACTAAGTGCCACAACCAGTCTCATGTTAAAAACCTCCAGGGATGGAGAATCCACCACTTCCCTGGGCAGCCCATTCCAATGCCTGATTACCTTCTCTGTAAAGAATTTCTTCCTAATATCCAACCTAAACCTCCCCTGGCACAACTTAAGACCATGCTCTCTTGTCCTACTGATAGCTGCCTGGGAGAAGAGACCAACCCCCACCTGGCTACAACCTCCTTTCAAGGAGTTGTAGAGAGTGATGAGGTCTCTCCTGAGCCTCCTCTTCTCCAGGCTGAACAACCCCATCTCCCTCAGCCTCTCCTCATAGGACTTGTGCTTGAGTCCCTTCACCAGCCTTGTTGCTCTTCTCTGGACTTCTTCCCTGTCAATACAAGGAAACTGAATTTTAGCCTTTTGAGTATTCTTTGATCTTTCATTCATGTCTTCCAATTTCCCAGATAGATATACTATCTACCCTTCAGTCTTCTGCAGTGAATGCACTTGTCTGACTTGGTCTGATCCTCAGTCTGTTGCCACAGGTCGAGTCAATGAAGCGTTGGGCAGGGTCCTTGGGTAGCATGCTTTAGGAAAAGAGTTTGAGATCCATGTTTCATACAGGTTATACCATAGCACTGAGACTGGATGTTTGGGTGAAGGTCAAGGGAAGATTCTTGAGAGAGAGAAAATATTGGAAATAAGATGGTCTGAACTGAACTCTCAGAGAGACTCCTGTCTAAAACCTGAATCTGCTGCAGAGTAAAAAAAAAACCAACAAACTATTGTAGCAAAAAAAAAAAGAAACTTTTTTGCTTCTTCCAAGCAATTGGTAAGTCCTTGTGTCCAGTGAGGATGCACGACTGCACTGCACAAGGAAGTCCTGTGGTACACTGATAGTTACCATTACCAGCTTTGGTATCAGAAACACTCTAGCTATGGTAATAAAGTAGATAAGATAATTATCCTCTTGAAAAGACAGTAAAGTACTACATTAATGCACTTAGACGACAGCCAATACTCGAGTAAAATTGCTTAGAACAAACTTAGCCACTGGAACCAAAGTGTGTGCAATTTTTTCACGGTGCTTGCATAATTCTCTTGGGTTTGAAATGTGTAGTAACTGTTGATTCCCATTTCTAGTTCATAGCCCTTTTTTTGGTAGTATTTTTTTCTTTAAACTTCCCTGAGTTCCCTGTAATAAGTTACCTTATCGTGCATTGTCTCTTCAAAAATCTGTGCAGTACACCTCTACTTAGATTTCCTATTTCATCTGATTAGTGCTGCTGTAGTGTTTCAAGCATTGCTTTGATTTGTGTGAAGCAATTTGCAACCCCTGTTTGAGAAACATGTTTTTGTTTGGATACAAGAGTATCTCAGAATTTCTTTTTCAGTTCTCCATTTTTTCTGACTTTCTTTTTTAAGCGCTGGCTTCTTTGGCTAAGATGGAACTGAAAGCATAATTCAGATTTTCTTTTCTTGTGTTATTTCAGAGGACATTAAAAATAGACTTCTCTGCTATAAGTGTCTATTTAATATAGTTTTCTAGCTCAAATCTTCTATGATGGCGCACACACACAGTGCTTGAGACACCTTCTGAAATTACAAAGAGATCAGAAATAGTACAGGGAGTGCAATTCTGGTCAGAGGCTAGGAAGACTGACCCAGAGTGGCTTCTACATTTGGCTTGCTAAGTGCTGCATTGTTTTCATGGCCATCCTGTATGCATCTTTTTGCAGAAATCTAGGTATAGGGGTTTTTTTAAAGTATCTGTTTTATTTAACGAATTCAGCTACTCTAATTATCACATAGCATACTAGGATGTTACACTGTATCAAAAAAAAGTTTCAGAATCAGTTTCACCAGAGAAATGCAGGACTATCTATCTGGTATATTTTGCACCCTGAGGTGCTGCTGGAGTATTAAATAAAAACTTCATTTATCCACTGTGGAAAGAGAGACAACAGATCGAAAATCTACGGGTGAAAATTAGCAAGAGTGTAAAAACCCACTATCAAAACCATTTGCACACAAGTCAACATACACATTAGTTTTACACTTCTAAAAATCCTGGAGGAGGACTGAAGTTTCTCTGCTGCTGTGACTGACAGCCAGCTAGTTTGCCGGTGCTTTTCTTATGCAAACTCCATCACCGACTCTATTTCAGAAAGTCTTGTGATTCATTTTACTGTTTCATTCCCACCAAAGTAGATACATGAGTTCATAAAACTGTCTACTACGTAATTATTTCTGCTATATAGGATAAAACCGCTATTGTGGTAAATCCACTGCAAAACAGGATCCTGAGAAGTACTAATGAATTTCTTGCCAAACTGCTTAAATCATAATTACTTTGTCACAAGCATCATATGTTTATAATCTTGTTATGATACTGAAGCCTTATACAGCTGGGTTTTTTGTAACATTTTTTGTAGCCAGTTTAAAGCCATCTGGTGCATGTATTGCCAGGTATATATGATTTTGTTGTTGTTGTGACTACATGTGCACCCTCAGCAAAATCATGGTAATTTCTCAGTGTATGACAGTGGAGTTGAAATGGGATCATGTCATTATTTAATTGGACACAGTGACTACTTATGAGGTTCCTGATAGCCACACGTGAGAATTGCTGTTTTAATTTGTTATCTCTTCACATTCAGATCCTGAAAATTATATAAATGTTAGATTGATCTCCGAATATAGGCAAAGACTGATACGCAGCTTTGGACCTCTTCTAAATGTCGTAACTTTTCTTGTGCTTTTTTAAAGCCCAAGTCTTTAATTATAATTCTAGTAAGTAGATACAGGAACATATGATTTTTATCTCCTGATTAGTTAGCAAAAAGCTTACATTTGGAGATCGTCTTACTAGAAGACCTGTGATATATGGATTAAAAAGATTAGAGTTAAGGTTTCATCTGTATTTTGCTGTCTGTCAATTAAAGGACATAATTTGCTTATAGTTTACTTTTTTAATACCATGTTATGATTGGATCACTGTAGTATTTAGAAGATGCAACCAAAATAAAAGCTCCATTACCTTGAATTACGAAAAACCACAATAGTAAAAGGAAGCCCCTGCTTGGCATTTGAAATAAAAAAGATCCTCAGAGACCAGGAAGGGAAAGAAGCACCTTTCCTGACTGACTTAATTATTTTTCTGTGGAAAAATGACTTGTTGAAGATCATACGTGAATTGAATTTCTACATTGGTGGGTAGGTGGAAAAGAAACAGAGGATGTTTGGTCTACATTTCCATGCACGGCTTTTTTTTTATTCATTTCCTATGGAAATAAGTCTTACATGATCGTGTTTGTGCCTTTCCCTCCCTTTTTTTGTCTCCACCCATAACTTTTGGCTCCACTGATTAATAAAAACAAATTTGAAAGAGGAGTAAAAGTCTTAAATAGGATTGTCTTTAAATGAATTTTGTGAAAGCAGATGCCAGAAGGGAAGAAAAAACCATCTGAATGTTCTTGCTATGGTAAAGCTGCAGCTCAAGTTCACCTTCACCAGAAAAAACCACATATATTCCCAACCATGGGAAAACTTCTATAATGTCAAATCAGCTCTCTTCCTATTTTGCTATAAATTTCTAGAGCATAATGCACAGCTCTCCACGCAACATACACGAGTTTGATTTGGCACCAATCTGGAGTGAAACAAGCAGTGTTCTTTTGGAGAAGCCCTGGTGCAGAACAGAAGTTATTTTTCTGCAGCTTCAGGTCTTGCACCCTACAAGCCAATGGAGATAAACTGATGGTTGGTTTGCTCAGGGATGGGGTTCATTCCTTGGTGCAGACTACAGAGGCAGCACAGACACAAAGCAAGCTCGTACTTCTTAAACAAAAGATGCTGATCATTGGAAAGGCTTATGAGTAGATGTGGCACTTAGGGACATGATTATGTGCTGTACTTGGCAGTGTAGGGTTAATGGTTGGACTTGATCTTAAAGGTCTTTTCCAGTCTAAATGATTATATGACTCTGATCGTAGAACCATTCGTTTAATGACTGTTTCTAAATACATATGGTAGGGAGGAGGAAGAATCCCTTTGGGAGGGCTTTGGAAATCTTTCTCTCAAACTGTAAGTCACTGGATCCTTTTGAGGAAGGAATTGGTACATCTTGCATCTCTGATTGTATGCTAATTTTCCTTCATTTGGTCTGTTTCTGTTAAGAGCCTAGACTGTAGGTCTGCAGTGTGTCATGGTAAGCAGTATGTAGATCAGTGCCATGTGTCAAAGCTGGAAAGTTTCTTCACTTTTCTTGCTTTGTTTGAGGCTGCTTGTATTAAGTACTTTCCTTCTCTCCTTTTTTCTCACTTGTGTGGTTAGGAATTGCTTTACTTTCTGTATATCCTGTGGTAGTGTTTAATATTAGTTAGATGTTTGGCCATCCGTACTTCCCTGAAATCTAAAGCTGGTTTTCATTGACGGGGATTTCCTGGGTGCTCATGTGCCTTTCTTTTCTATCTTGTGTCCAGATACACATCTTGGGTAATCACACCAGTGTTATGGTATAAGCTGTGCAGTGTAACTTCTCTAATTATGGGACTATCTGGCTGCTGTCAAGACTTTTTGCTCAACCATCTTGCAGTGAATTTGAACACAAGTGCCAAACATGTTGACTATTAACTTCATGTGCTTTATCATTCCTTCTAAGGAATTCTATCTTGCTATTCCTGACCAAAGTGTTTTTCAGTATAGTGGACAGGGTTTTCAACCTCAATATAAGCAGCTTATGTCTATTCTTTATTTTTATTTCCTCACTGATGATTATGTCTCCTTATAATTAAAAACATCAAATATATCCACTACCAGCTGAATTTTGTTAGACTAAGTCAAATTCTTCTCATATGATAGAATCTTAATTCCTCTGATCTTTCTAGTAACCCTTTCCACACTTTTTCTGTAGGAAGATTAATTTAAACTGGTGGATAGGAGTGTACTTAATATTCCAGAATAGATCTTGCCAGGGCTTTGTACTATACCATAAGCACCCTTCCTGCTTCTGGAAATTCCACGTACATCTAAGATCATGCATCTTATGTCTGCTGCATATTGGTTGCTACTAAGCCTGCTGCAACTGACTGGTTCTCACATGAGGCGTATTTTGGTGAGCTTTCTACTTATATGATTATGTTCCTGAAGTTTCTTGTAGCTAATATTACTTGACTGGAGGCACTCTGGCCAGGCCACACATTACGAAAGCTTTTAGGCTCCCCTCCAGGTATTAAGGATGGGACTTGTATATTCCAGCTATTATTTTGAAGAGGTGGAGTGTGAACACTGTGTGTATTTACCACTGCATCTGTTGACACACAAAGTGTGTCTGTCCTTTGCCCAAAACATTTTTCCATTCCAGATGTAAAGAGCCTAATCTTAATGAAGCTGTGAGAAATTTACTTAAATCCATTCCAGACCGTAGCACCGTATACTTTTAGGCAGGCAGCAGTGCTGATTTCAGCAATTCCTATCCTGCTCCTCTGCCCATAAGTCCAGACCCTGAGCACGCCCTAAGTGCTATTCTTTTCTTTTGAGTCTAGATTAATTCCATGCTCTACTTCAGCATTGTCCCACAATGGTTTGAAAAGTGAAATGGTGACAAAGGGTCTTAAATGAGTGGCTGGCAGGAGACATAGACAGGGATAGGGCCATGCAAAGCCCACATCAGCACTCCAAGAAGTGTCTGATGAGCAATAAACATCAGCACTCCTGCTGGGGCTGCAGAGCTGTATGAAAGGTGCTGCATGTGGAATCAGAGGTTGATTAAATGAAACTAAGTCCTTCACCAGCAGTGTTTATGTTTGGCTTAAGAGGTGTGAGCTGGAGCAATAGGCTTATGGTGTAACTCCTTACCCAAATCAGGTATATTTGAGGATAATTTTCACTTTCTATTCTTACCTCAATGGAGAATTAAATAAAAATGACACGGTCCTAAACTAAAAGCATGTACATCCCATAGGTTACGTAGAGCGAGATGAAAACCTCGGTGTTGTTTGAGAGGAGGAGGACCTGCGAGCTCAGAGCTGCTGTACCTAAAATACCAAATACTACCTGCCTAAAACACCAAAACCAGAGCAATCCCATTTGCAAGCAGATGAAGCCCTACTACAGATCAGGCAGCATTTGGACAACAAAATGGCTGTGGCTATAAGTGATCCACAGAAGCGCAGCTGGAAGAAGCCGGGGGGCGGGGGAGCCCCGACCCCACACTCCGGGGCCGATCGGGGCCGCGCCGGGGCGCGGCGGGGCCGTGCCGCAGTTACCGAGAGCCCGTCCCAGGCACTTACTGCGGGGCGCTGCGAGACGCGCGGGGGGCGCGCAGCCCCGGGGAGCGCACGGCCGGCGGCTGCGCCTTCCCGGCGGGGCTGCTGGGCCGCGGACCCCGCTCGGCTCGGCTCGGCTCGGCTCGGCCGGGCGATGCCGGTGCCGGGTCGGGGCCGCAG